TCGGGAGTTCCGGCTTAGCTCTCGTTGGTTGGGCAAAGTGACCATCGAAGGAACCCACAGGTCTACTGGAGACAGGCATCACGCCAGATGCAGGATATTAGGAGTGTTAGTGTTACATTAGCCTTGAACAGGATATCACTGGAGGGACTGCTTTGTGGGCCCGTCATGGATGCCACTTGTGGAAGGATTTCCGACTTGCTTGCGTCTTGTCGGCTCAGGATATGAGCGTGATGAGGACATGTGTAAGCTTCCTGGGGGTTAGTTGACGCAGCAATTGAGATACGTTATGGCTCTAATTCCCTTAGGACACCTCCAGAGATAGACTTGGGACACCGAATGACGCGGAAACCGCGGAAATGCAACTACCTTACGTACTGCGCCGAGCAGTCACAACCATCCGGGCAAAAGGGATCAGATAAGGCGCCTTGTCTCAGTTGATTCGCTAATATGGCCAGTGATTTGACGTTCATTACCCGCTAAGCATGCGAGTACCACGCTAGCGCGATATGAACCACGGGAGAAATGCAATCTCCTCACGATGCCCCTTTTTTCACTTGCGCGCTGGGCAGAAGTGCTTACACCTTAGTCAATTGAGACAATGCACCTGCTAAATCGCGAACAAATTATACAGGCCCTCGAACAGATTGCTATCTTCATGTCATCACCATGGATCAATAATTTCCCAGGTTGCAACATTCCGGGTCGATTCGATCACGGCCAAGTCGCCAAGAAAGCTTTTGCGCGGGCACACGAAACCCGAAGGGTCCACCGGAACCACAGGCACCCATTCGCCTTATAGGGCTGGGGGTTTTTCGTCCAAACACGACCCACTAAGGCTTAGATTAGTCCGAGGGAGATTTGTGGGTGCCGACAATCCGTGGCAGAATAATCCCTCACCCGGTGACCTGGCTTGTTGGCAAGTTTTGTTGGATATATTTAAGACACGCCGGCCCGGGATCGATCTTATCTGATGCCACCTATCTGATCTGATAACTTTCCATGGTCCTGGTCTTATTCAGCTATTGATTTTGGTGCGGAAATGGCCACCGACACCAAAGATGGTCTCGACAAGGAGAGCGTCTACCCAGTCGAGGATACCGACCGTGGTGAGTTTGAGTTTTTCTGCTTCACCCCTGCCCCTGTTGTCGCTGCTAACACAACCACCAGCCGAGATAGATTCCCAGACCGAAGTACTACGGGCGGCAGGCATCGGTATCCACGAAGATGACCCAACAGAACCTATACTGACGCTGAGAATGTGGGTTCTCGGTATAGGATTCTGCATTGTGGCTAGTGGGTTGAACACACTTTACACCCTTCGAAAACCATCCATCACAATATCCTCTTCGGTGACTTTGCTGCTGGCGTACCCGCTAGGCAAGCTCTGGGAAAAGACCCTTCCGAGCTGGGATGTCAATCTCGGCGTGTGCCGATTCAACCTGAATCCGGGACCGTTCAACCAGAAGGTAAGCATTGGTCAGCCGTACGCCTGCCTTGTCGTCCAAATGTACTAATAGGTACTCGATATAGGAGCACGTTTTAGTCTACATCATGTCGAACCTTAGTATCTACGTCCGACTTGGAGCAGACGTCTTGACAGAACAACAGATGTTCTACGGATATAAAGCCGGCTGGGGCTTCCAGATTCTGATCACGTTAGGAACATTCCTGGTCGGCTTCTGCCTGGCTGGCTTCTTTCGGTCCGTGGTGGTGGCCCCTAAGGAACTTATCTGGCCAGGTGTGCTGAGCACGACTTCGCTCACGACAACATTGCACAACCTAGCTCAAGGGGATCTACAAGGAGTGTAAGTATACTGCTATATCTGAAAGAATTCAAAAGTCTAATGAGAAGTAGTAAGGATACGTGGAAAATGTCTCGTTACGCATTCTTCAGTCTTGCCTTCTGCATCTCCTTCTGCTGGTACTGGTTCCCAGATTTCATCTTCCCAGCGCTGAGCTATTTCACTTTTCCATGCTGGATCAACCCCAAGAGCACAGTGGTCAATCAGCTTTTCGGCATGGAAAGTGGTATGGGCCTGCTGCCTATCACGTTTGACTGTAAGTACCCGGCTCATGACTGTGCCACAGCCAGGCTAATACCTCGCTAGGGAGTCAAATCTCCTACGTCGGATCGCCACTGCTGATTCCGTCGTGGGCAATCATCAATGTCTTCTCCTCCCTGGTGTTCTGGATCTGGATTGTCGCTGTCGCTTGCTACTACCGCAATGTATGGTATACAGGCTACCTTCCTTTCCAGAGCTCGTCAGGTATGTAACTTGCTGTCTGTTGAGCATGTCCTCATACTAATCCATCTCCTCAGTCTATGATAACACCGGCGCCACCTACAAAGCATCCAAAGTTGTCAGCAAAGCAACTGGCTACAAACTAGATATCGAAAAATACAAGGCCTATTCTCCGGTTCGCCGCCTTGCCACATTTCCACCATCCCTACTGACTCAAACACATCAGGTCTACATGCCCGTAACCTACGCCTTGAACATGTTCGGTCTATCATTCGCGACCTTGAGCTCCCTCCTGGTTTGGGTGATCCTCGAGAACCGCCACGACATAGCCGCAGGCGCTCTGCGAGTCCCTCATGTCGTGCGCAGCTATTTCTCCAAGGACAAGAAACACACCGACACCAATTCGGGACACCGTGATGTCCCATTCCTATGGTATCTAGGCGCAGCCGTACTGGCACTATTCATCTGCATGTTTAGCGTGGAATACTGGAACGTCGAACTGCGATGGTACGGCGTCTTGCTAGCTTGCGCAGTAGCCATGGTCTTTTACGGCCCGGTAAGTGATATCCCACACCATCCACAACTAGTTCAAAGGTTAATAATAGCTCAACTACACAGCTCGCAATCGTATACGCGACATCCAACCTGAAAATCAACATCGACATCTTCTGCCGCATCGTCGCCGGTTTCGTCTTTGAAGGCAAAGTCCTCGCCAACATCTGGTTCTTCGACATTGGCTACATCACCACCATCAAGGGCCTCTACTTTGCAGAGGACATGAAACTCTGCGATTACTGCAAAGTACATCCCCTCCCCCACCTGCCACTACCCACCACTCACCCTCCGACATCCCCAAAAACTAACATAATTCATAGATCCCACCCCGCAAAGTCTTCATCGTGCAATGCGTCGGCATGATCTTCGGAACCCTCAGCTCGGTATCCGTCCTAAACTGGAGTCTAGGCAACATCAGCAACGTCTGCACCAGCGACGCCGTCAACGGGTTCAGCTGTCCCTTCTCGAGGACAAAATTCAACACGAGTCTCATCTGGGGCGCCATCGGCCCACGCCACTACTTCACCAACGGCATCGGCTACAGCTCCTTACTCTACTTCTTCATCATTGGCGCCGTCCTCCCCATCCCCGTATACTTCCTCAAACGCCGCTACCCGAATTCCCTCTGGCGGAGAGTTCATATCCCGCTGTTTCTGGGCGGGTTGAATTACCTCCCTCCCGCGACGGGGACGAGTTATGGTAGTTGGGCTGTCGTGGGGTTGACGTTTGGGTGGTGGATTCGGAGGAGGGTGTATCAGTGGTGGTATAAGTATAATTTTGTGTTGAGTTCGGCGTTGGATTCGTCGGTGTCTATTGCGGGTGTGGTGATCTTTTTTGCGGTTTATTTTAGTGGTGCGAGTAAGGGGTTTAGTTGGTGGGGGACGGAGGTTTATAAGGTATGTTTTGATTCTTATCTTCCCTTTTTGTTTCCCTTTTGATTGCGTTTGGGGTGGAGGTGGCTAATGAGGGTTGTGATAGGATACGTGCGATTATAAGGGGTGTTCGTATTTGGCGGTGCCGGAGGGGGGGAAGTTTGGGGTTTGAGGGTGGAGGGGTTGAGGGGTTGTATATATGCAGAAGAGGTTGGTGGGCTGAGATTAGTGGTTGCGCGTAATATATATGGTTGGTTGAGGTAGCTGTACATATTCAAGATATCTTATTGATTATATGGATTAGTCTCAATTAACTTATTGTCCCGTGCTGAATGCAGCTTCGGTCTCATGTCCTCTCATCCATGTATTGGATTGCTTCTGCGGGATGTATTGGGTATATAAGTGTCTAAGTTTAACCGAACACCGTTATAATACTTCACTGGCATTACCATATATAGTCTTGCCCACGCAAGACGTGCAGACCAAATAATGCCAGCTTCTTGTTTAGGTAACTACTGGTCGCGTGCCATTTTAGGTGATACAAGTCGATCGGCGTCGCTGTGGACTTGGCGTGCAGGTGTAGGGTCGATGGGATTGGACGTAGTGATGTATTTATCTGCTTTCCTTCATTATCGTAGTAACAAAGAGTGCTTGTTAAGATATTGGGGTGTCTAATGCACCGTTAGTTGTAAGCTTGTATGGAAGAAGGAATTCCTGTGTCGGCGAGTGGTGAGGGGAAATGTCTATTCATTTCCAATGTGTAGCATAAGAGAGCGCATAAATTAGATATGCTATATGCGCCCTATTCTCACACGTGCTCAAAGCCTGGTCGCCACGCGTGAGACAGACTGCATCCCTGTCAGCCCTGTCGCCTGGTCGTGTATTAGCAAGTTCTGGTAGCTTTCGGGAGGACGTCATGTACACCATTTTTATCAGTCCAGTCAGGCACCACGTGCACCAGGGAGTGGCAGACCTTGGTTCCAACGGATATAAGCATTTCGCGAAGTGTATAAGGAAACAGGGCATGCGTCTGGTTACTGAGCATGCTTAGAATTGCCTGATCCAATGCGGAGAAGAGAGTTGGAAAAAGGAAGAATCCCATTGCTGACCACCCCCTCAACACGTGCCGGGATGCTGCTGGGTGAATATCAGTGATCAGCCAATCAGACTGCCAGAAGTCAGCAGGCCCCACTGGGATGGGAGTATTAATGGGTGCCTGAGGACAAGATAGTACTGACCAATCGCTGAGGCGGAAATGCGGCACATGCATGGCTAGCGATATCTTCAGTGGCGATGGAGTTGAAGCTGAAGCTCTCCACTCACCGTCTGCCTGGTCCCCTGCTCAGTTTAGTCTCTCCGCTGCCCTCCGGTCGCAACTAGCCGACCTGGATCAATGCATCGCCGCTCCCCGTCGGCTCCTCCGAAGCCAATTGTTGCCCGGCCTATCTACACGTGTGATCCCTTGCCTCGCTGCGTTTGCTATCGCGACCTGGAGATAAACATGTCGGTCGCGGGGGATATAAACCGGTCGGGCGGCCCCAGAGTTGTCCCCCGATCAGCCAAGAATCCTCTCTGCTTGTCACCAGAAAGCACGCGACCATGAAGGGAACTGCTGCTTCTGCCCTGCTCGTCGCTCTCTCCGCGACGGCCGCCCAGGCCCGTCCGGTGGTCGATGAGCGTTTCCCCTACACTGGGCCTGCCGTCCCGATCGGCGACTGGGTTGATCCCACCATCAATGGCAATGGCAAAGGTTTCCCTCGTCTGGTTGAACCCCCGGCCGTCAAGCCGGCCACCGCCAATCCCAGGAACAACGTCAATGTGATTTCCCTGTCCTACATCCCCAAGGGCATGCACATTCACTACCAAACTCCCTTTGGTCTGGGCCAGCTGCCCGCTGTTCGCTGGGGTAAGGACCCTCGCAACTTGAACAGTACTGCGCAGGGGTATTCCCACACGTATGTATACCACTTCTAGTTGGTATTGCCGCGTGCTGATGGATTCAGATATGACCGCACCCCTTCCTGCTCCCAAGTCAAGGCGGTCACCCAGTGCAGTCAATTCTTCCACGAGGTTAGCATTGACGGTCTGGAGCCCGACACCACCTACTACTACCAGATCCCCGCCGCCAATGGCACCACCCAATCGGAGGTCCTCAGCTTCAAGACTAGCCGTCCTGCCGGTCACCCGGGCTCGTTCAGCGTCGCTGTTTTGAATGATATGGGATACACCAATGCTCATGGCACACACAAGCAGCTGGTCAAGGCTGCCACTGAAGGAACTGCATTCGCCTGGCACGGAGGTGACCTCAGTTACGCCGATGACTGGTACTCTGGTATTCTTGCTTGTGCCGATGACTGGCCTGTCTGCTACAACGGCACCAGTTCGACTCTTCCCGGTGGTGGCCCTCTTCCAGAGGAGTACAAGAAGCCCTTGCCCGCGGGCGAAATCCCCGACCAAGGTGGCCCGCAAGGTGGTGATATGAGCGTGCTGTATGAGTCCAACTGGGATCTCTGGCAACAGTGGCTCAACAACGTCACTCTGAAGATTCCCTACATGGTCTTGCCTGGTAACCACGAAGCCTCGTGCGCCGAGTTTGACGGTCCCCACAACATCCTCACTGCTTATCTGAACGACGACATTGCCAATGGCACTGCTCCCACTGATAACTTGACCTACTACAGCTGCCCGCCTTCCCAGAGGTAGAATTTCCTCTCCTAATCCTGAGGTGTAGTAGCTAATCGCTGCAGAAACTTTACCGCTTACCAGCACCGCTTCCGCATGCCTGGTCCCGAGACCGGTGGTGTTGGTAACTTCTGGTACTCGTTCGACTACGGTCTTGCTCACTTTGTCTCCATTGACGGCGAGACCGACTTCGCCAACAGCCCTGAGTGGAACTTTGCCGAGGATGTGACCGGCAACGAGACCCTGCCCAGCGAAAGCGAGACCTTCATCACCGACAGTGGCCCGTTCGGCAATGTCAACGGCAGTGTCCACGAGACCAAGTCCTATGAGCAGTGGCACTGGCTGCAGCAGGATCTGGCCAAGGTCGATCGCAGCAAGACCCCATGGGTGATAGTCATGAGCCACCGTCCTATGTACAGTTCTGCCTACTCCTCGTACCAGCTGCACGTGCGCGAGGCGTTCGAGGGTCTACTCCTCAAGTATGGCGTTGACGCCTACCTTTCTGGGTGAGTCACCCGTGTAATAAGGGTCCGCATTTTCCGCTAACGAATTCAGCCACATCCACTGGTACGAGCGTCTCTATCCTCTGGGAGCCAACGGCACCATCGATACCGCCGCCATCGTCAACAACAACACGTACTATGCCCACAACGGCAAGTCCATCACTCATATCATCAACGGCATGGCTGGCAACATTGAGAGTCACAGCGAATTCAGCGACGGCGAGGGTCTGACCAACATCACTGCCCTGCTGGACAAGGTCCACTATGGCTTCAGCAAGCTGACCATCTTCAATGAAACTGCCCTCAAGTGGGAGTTAATCCGTGGCGACGATGGCACTGTTGGTGACTCGCTGACCCTTCTTAAGCCGTCTCATGTTGCCGGTGGTAAGAAGTTTCACTCTTAAGCTGTGTTGTGCAATTGGAAACTATTTCAACGGCTGATGACAAGTCCGATTGATGTGGAATGAGATCCGAATGTCTGGAATGTAATCATGATGGAAAAATGTGGGCATGTACATGACAAAAGTACTTAGTATATAATGAATGGCTTGGATTAATGCATCGTCCTGAAGTAGTCTTTTGCTGTCTACTGAGCGATGCGATTGCCAGGTATGGGAGGAGCGCTGCGCTGCATCAGGCGACACGATCACAACATCGTAAGCACTACGTCCGCCATATTTACATCTGTAGATAAGCCAATACTAGTATTACTTGTACCCTTTATGTCTCCTTACTCGATATTACTAGCTTATGCACTCCAATGAACCCCAATAAGCCACTCCTTCCTACCAGTCCTCCACAGGAGAGTATACTACTATACCTGGCCTCTACAGGACATCGGAATGACCCAAGCTATATTATCTCACTGCGCAATAACCCAAGCAGACTCCATCTCATGCCGGAGACGAGATGGCTCTCGCCGTGCAGAAGCAGGATATTCCCAGAACTAATGCTGTTGAGACGCAATGTTCCTTGACTATCATGTCTATATCCAGCATGAATGCAGGACTATCTTCAACTATAAAAGGCAGAAGGGATAGACATGGTATACAACCTTTCATTATCACCGGTGTGTCACACAACGGACTGGCCTTTCGACTACAGTCCTTCACCTTGATTCGCAATGGACGATAAACCTACGGCCGCTAGTTGGGATTCCAACGAACTGTCTCCCTCGTCTATTTTTTTTGAGGAGGATCATCCATCCCATCATCCAACATCAGTTGCATCCGATGCGGACAATGAAGCGGATACTGAGGCGGGTAACGAAGCGGATAATGAAGCGTCGTCCCTTCTTCATTCACGCATGAGCGATGATGACCCACCTGAGGAATATCGACCACCGGGCCAATACACGATAACATCCTATGAGTATCAAGGGGAAGAGTATCATGGGCAAACGGATACATTTATCACGGCATCGGACGCAAGTAACATTCTCAAGGAAGCCGATCCTCCAATCCCCTGTGTGCTGTGGGGTATCATGTTAAGATATATCTTCGAACATGAAATCAATGATAGTAGCGTACGTCTAGTACATGTAACACGTTATTTTGTACAGAAGCCTGTGCTTACCAACGAGGCAGATACCAATCTCAGTAGACCTGGTTGTTGAGGACGAACAGGTGAAAGACGCCATTGAAATCTTGCGCAAGGCTGGGTTCAAAGACGATGACAACTACCCAGGGTGTCCCTACAACGAAGGAGCCTGTCCTGTCAACGAGCTCAAGCCGGTTCACGTTTTCCACTTGTTCGATTCATTCTCTCATACCCGATTGGAGGAGTTTCTTAATGTGACAAAAGGACCTCAACTGCATCACGATCTAAGACTCCACTGCAAATCCAATGTGTACTGGAAACTTCCCAAGTTTACTGTGCAGACGGAGGCCAACGAGGCGGACGAAAGCTTTATGCTAACGTTAGACCGCAGGCTCCCCTGGGAGGGAGTTCATCGACCCAATGTTAAGGATCATCCGCCCACTAAGAATCCCCTGGTTCTGCCCACTCCTGCTCGGTTCGCCGAGGCCCTGGTTTACCTGAAGGCGCGAGACGAGCATTTCAAGAAAACCGAAATATGCTGGGAGGAGGTTCTGAAAGAACATTTCAAGCCATTACTTTACGTAGCTCAGCATGGCGCCCTATTCGAGTTGGACGCAAAAAAGAAAACCCTCAGCGAGACATGCCGAGAATGGTGGGAATCATGCAGGACTGGGGAATATACCAGCATACCCTCCACGAAACTGCTGGATAAATTGGAGAAAGATATAAGACTCGAGATGGGGGTGTCCGGTGAACCAGAGCCCATTCCTCTCGACAGCCATTGGGGACAAGAAAATCCTCCGGATAATAGAACGAGCATATCACCCCGTGCACCGTATTCAACAGATGATGAGGCGGGACCCTTTCGAATGTCCGAGTCCGATAGGGCGGTGGATACAGACGAATAGCTCTGGATACATAGTTATGTGTCTTTAAATCACACTTCTTGCTTTTATTGGATTCCTTCGACGAACATACTGTCTGTGAATCTCTCTACACTTGTAGTTGACAAACTCGGTAGTACGCACCGTACTTAGACTGGAAAGAACAACTGAAAAGAACTTGTATTTATTTACGTAGACTGGCAACACAATGTCACAGCTCTTTCCCTGTGCCCGGTGTGTGAATTAATATTCATCAGGCAGGAACTATGAAGAGCTGACATTACTACCACAATATCCTTCTACCATATGCCTCTGCTCCCCCTCACATCCCCTACTACAGCTCTCCTAATTGCCATCTTTTGTCACTATCTTTTTAGAACATCCATATCTCAATTTGTATACCGTCGTATATGTACCACCATGACAAGACAACAATCCATGTACCAGTTCCTGTTCGAGCGCTCACAAACCCCAATTGTCTCCTACAGATTCGCTTCATCCATCAGCTCTGTGCTCAAAGCCGAGGGTATTCCATGTCTACTATGGGGTGATCTAGCGATGAGGGCTATGGGTTACCACAGCATAGCACAAGTACATACCCTCCTCAACCTTCCCCTCTATCTGCTAACCTCCTACAGAACCTCGATCTTATACTCGAGGACGAGCACTTGACACGAGCCGCCAACTTTTTCCGCAACTACGAACATGTCCATGGATACCCTTACTTCCTACGCTGCGCCTCAGCCACTGCCACGACCCGTGAATCAGGCCGCCCGATGCCTGTCCACCGCTTTCACGTCTACACCCACCCTGAGATTACCATGACCCCATCCCAAGCTTCACAAAGCTCTGGTGCTCAGGGACCAGCAGCAGCAGAACAAGGAGAGATACCCCATATCGACATATGTCTCTACTCCAAGCGGTGGTACTTCCCAGGCAATCCCCCAATCCCGACCGGGATCCCTCGACCAACGAACCTGAGCTATATGTTGAGTAATGACGGCCGACTACCCCTGACGGGTTATCAGCAAGGTCAGCCCAACTTCGGCCGCTTTCCGCAGGATATTGCCCCGGTTGTAATGGCAAAGCCGGCTCGGTATGTTGAAACGTTATTGGTTCTCAGGATCAACTTCGGTACTTGGTCGGAACAAACCAGGTGGTGGAGACTGACTCTTGCTCGGATGACGACCACTGGGTTCGGCAATGGTCCGGACGATGACCCTCAGCCGGTTATGTTTGGTCCGTTGTATGATCCTGAGTGTTTCCGGGAGGAATTTCAGCGTTGGTGGAATTTAATGCGGGCCAGAAATATTGAGGCCGTTTTGGCAGAGGAGGAGAATATGGGGGTTTTGTTGAGGTCGCCCAGTACGCCTGTTGGAGGGCCGTGGGTTCCTCTTTAGCTGTTGGCTACATGCGTTAGTGTTGTCTTTTATGGTCTTTGGTTTTTGGATGTTGGCATCGGAGATGCTGTGATTATGGGACATGTTCGTGGGTGATGTTTATTATTAATGTTTAATGCTTAGGTAGTTTGTAGGGTTAGAGACATATTAGTCGTCTAAACATATCTATCGTTCTGTTTAATCACGTTCAAAAAATTCAGCACTTGGACGCTGTCGTCCTTCACATGATAAGGCTGTCCACTTCCCAAATTGACCACCATTTTGTTTTTCCGGTCCCATTCGTAGAACCTAACGTGCTTACCAATTGCTACTATAACCATATATGCCATACTGGCGTCCCTTTGATGAGGAAGCGATGTCCCCGAGGTAGACATTCAGTTGACGCACTCCTTCTGCCCATCCGCTGTTTTGCCCTTCCTTTGCGAAGCGTTTGCACTGCGTCACCAAAAACCGCGTTGGTCGTCTGCTCTGCGCCCTGTGGTGCTGATTCCACACGGACGACTCAATATCGGTGTATCCTGCACTCCCCCCCCTTTTTCCCTCCATGCTGAGGACGATGAACGAAATCCTCACTTGGAGGAAAGTGGATATTGAGGATTAGGTTCCATAATCCTGTGATGACTCCTTCTTGCTGGTAGCGGTTCATAACCCTCATCTCGTCCTGAAAGGCTTGATTCTCCGTATACTTCAGTGAAAGACATGAGTTGTGACTTTCATATTGTACAGTGGGGGCAATCATACATTGGCCATGTCTGAAGATTTTATCGACCCGGTAAATTGTAAGCTAAACTTCTTCTTTCTTCCCAAAGCACAGTTGCTGGTCCCACGGATTTTGATTTGGAGTTTTTCCCTGAGGCATTTTACTCATTTTCCTCGCGAGACTGATAAGAAGCAAAGATATCACACCTGGACATAGAAGGTGCAACCCCGTAGTTCCCATTTTCACATACAGTTGGTCTACTCCCCTTTTTTATGCTCTACCAACCCGCATCACTTGATCGTTTTTGTTAGGCCATATTGAACCGCTATTTCCTCCAGCAGCGTAAAGAAACGCTTTCTGTCCAAACCAGCCTGGCTATGCTCAAGAACCTCCAACTTCAAACAAAGCCATCGCCAATCTAAATCTTCGTGTAAGATACTCTGTATCTCACTGAATAGATCAAGATTAAGCCGTAGCTTCCAATAACCTTTGTCAACTGTCCATTGAATTCCTTCCAGGACTGAGCAGACATCCTCATACGAAAGATAATCCATGACCATATATTGTAACTCCATTGGAAGACGAATAAGCCATGAATCGGTAGAGCATGGTATATTGCTCGCTTTTATTTTAGCTCTATTCCTGCATCGAGTGACAAATCGGCGAACCGATGTCATTCCAAGAGGATCTGTTATATCTCATGCGTTATTTCATCATTCCTACTAATTATATAGATGAGAGTGTATGAAAACCTACCTCTAGGTTCCATCAGTAGGAATGACTCTACAGGATCATCATAATAGATATATAAGCATTCCTTGAAACAGCGCATTCGCAACGCGCGAGACAGGATACCTAAATTCTCCTTTGTAAGGTGATGATGCCAGTTATTAACACGGAGAAATTCTCTCCAGCATCTAGCGTGAACCAAATACCCAGCAAGACTAGACTGTTTCTCAATATTCTCCTTACATTGTACTAGCTTAGGCGCCGCTAGTCTATGCCGCCAGATTCTCTTGTAGTTCCCGACACTTATAAGCCCATCATCTTCATTCCACGGCGCGTGGAACTTGCGCCACGGATAGAAATTCTGAGAAATC